CGAGTAGCACAATAACGACAATGTTTTTGCTGATAGGAAGGCTGAACCCATGAATTGGTTAAGTTGAGATGTCGTTGTTAAAAATCCAAACGGTATTTTTATGATAATCACTATTTCATTTCCAGTTCCCTTCCTACAAAGCCAGTTCCCGTTCTACTCGGTGACTGAGGGTGAGAACACTATCCTCTCCTGCAGCATCAGTGCTCCAATACGGTACTGCTACTTCAGATCACCAAATGGAACAGTCTTCAACGTCGGTCCTTGTAAGTATATCTGCCTTACTGCATATTGGGTGTCCATGGGCGGCGCTGATTGCTTACCATCAGGTGATCCGTCTGCTGATGTTTACCGGCTTATTCCTTAAAAAAACTGACTGGGGACCTAGTAAAGCCTTGATTGCCGGAAAGAAGACACTTTCTTTCAGTTATTACTCGTTACCTGAAATTCTAAGTTACACATAATAAGGATGAAAACATGAGGTCGGTTTTTTCACGGTACAATTCTTTGGTTTATTTAAAAAAGTTGTTTCGAATTTGAGTGTAGTGATCACATCATCACACATAGGAGATAAAATTCAAAAGGAAATATTTACAGTCATTAAGATAATTAATTGAATAATGAGAACATTAGAGTAATTTTAATTTTTTCATCCACAGCTTTGGCGTCAGAATCGTACGAGTATGTGGGCAATGGTTTCGACTCAGGCGAATGTGGAGTTAAATTCAATGAGCTTGGAACAGACCACACAGGCACATGGTCCTGCAGTGTTGGCATGACCAACTTCGAAGAGAGGAGTGACGCGTTCGAGGTCGGCGTTAGCGGTAAGAACATGTAAATATTAGTCATTATCATAATAAAGTAGTGTAGCTGCCGTTAAATGAACATTGTACATTGTTTGCACGTTATCAAGTCTACTAATGTTTAGGACCTCTGGATCTAATATAAAGTTAGTATTGAAAACATTTGCTACAGGACAGTAATTAAAACTTAAAAAATGAACTTACTTCTTTCTCTATTTGTTCTTTTATGGTATTTTTTCGAACGTCTGAATAATTACAATGTGTCCCTAAAGTTTCTGTTCCTAGTTTTGAATCTTTGAAAATAATTTAATCCTATTTAGGTACTATTGCCAGAATCTATTTGGGGGAATGCCTCTCATTGATATCTGATGAAGTCTTCTACCATTACCGTAATCACACGCACATCTATCATCCAAATTAGTAGTTTCGTAATAATTATGAAGTTACTTATTTCGTATGTTAATATTACAGAGCCAATAAGAGTATTCCACACATGGCGGAGCGGGGTTCTAGAAATAGGTGCAATAGCCGGTGACTGGAAACCTCTGGATTACTGTAGATTTGTTCGCAACGACGGATTAGGTAAGTAAAAATTGTTAAACTTGTTTCCTAATAATCATAGGTCGCTAGAAGATTGAATACCGGTCAGCACGATGGTGGAGCTAACCAATAATGTTGTCATGGTCACCCTTTAAGCGGATTGTGCACGGAATATGACTGCCACAGTAATGTAGTGTAAGAGACAGCCATAACGACTTTTTCCAAAATATAATGATAACAGTTGTTATATTTTTTACAGGTTTTAATTCTATTAATCCACCCCCTGACTTCTACATGTACCAATGGTCAATTTATGAAGGAAGATGCATACTCACTATCACTGAGCCGACCGGATGGGACTTGCAGCCCTGGACGGTGTTCGTCAAGGTCACTGGAGAAACCAACGAGAGGTCAGATAACACGGGTATGCTGCAGCGGCCAGCTGAAGCGAATTCCAGTGAGTATTTTAATTAGACACTTTTATGAAATAGGTAAACAGTATGCAGCAGTCGAAATTGACTGCACGGTTGGCGCGGTGGTTGGCCAACTGACTGCCGTGGAACGTGTCGCGAGTTCGATTCCCGCGCAGAACAAGTCTTGGTGTGATCCACAGATTGTTGTTCCGGGTCTGGGTGTCATGTGTATGTGTACTTGTATGTTTGTAAATGCACCCACGACACAGGAGAAAATCCTAGTTTGGGGCAAAGTTTAAAAAAAAAAAGAATCACTTACATCAACAGCCTATAAAATCGTTTTTAAAGCATGCGCCTTCTACATTCATAAGGCAAACAGTGACACAACTTCGTAATTTAGAGAGATCACTTGATGCTGATTGTCACCAAGATTGGCAGTTCGTTGGTGGACAGCCCTGCTTGGAAGCCCAGAAGGTACGTTCTTCTGGATTGACTAATGAAAAAACTTTCATTTATTTTTCAGGAGCGTCAAAGATCCTATTTTGGATGCTAGGCGCAACCATGGGATTCCTGTTTATAGTTGCCGCAGTGTCGTTAATTCCTCCGAAGAATCGTAAGTGGACTTATGAGAGAGCAGCCTCGATCAGAAACAGCTTCCGAAGAAACCCCATGGCGACACAAGAAGCTGTACAAAACGACCTACCACCAAAAGTTTAGTGGAAGCCCGAAAATTAACGCGAATAGGACATTTTATTAAAGAAATTTTTGACAATACAGTACATTTATTAATTTTATCCGTGTTTAAAATCAGTTCAAGTACTTTTTTGTAGTTACTTATTTATAAAATGGGACTATTTGAAACCATTCTGGCTTTAACCAAGTTGACTTATAGTCGTTTTCATCAAGTTCTCCTAAATTTAAAGGCCCCTAAGCTAAAATTGGTGAATTTTATCGTCATTTTTCTTTTCACTAATCTAAAAGTGTGACACTTAATAGTAGGTACAAGTAAGGGTTTAGTTTAGGTGCTACGTCATACTAAAAGCGACAGTTTAGGGGTGATTGCTGAAAACGGCCGAAGTCCGGAGAAAAAGAATTGGTCACGTGATTCATAACTTAACCTAAAAATCTGTCCTGATTTTTAACGAATTGTTTTAAATTTTGGTCTCATTGCAAGGAGAGGCTGTTTTAAAGAGTATGTACTCTTATGTTGTACATAATATGTGTATGTGAACTAAAAATAATATATTACAAAATTAGTAGTATCAAGAATCATTGTAAATTACGGTGAATTAGAATACTATTAATTTATTGTTAATGTTTTGATAACCTTTGTAAATACGTACTAATACTAGATGCAAAAGATTGTTTTTATATTTTTGATAAATGAAGTTATTGAATATCCAATCTTGTATTATTACTGTTTGATCGATGTCAAAAACCTGTGCCGATTCATACTTCTAGATGGAATCTTCTTATTAAATCATTTCGCCTGTGAGAAGACAAAGAGCTTTTTTGAGGGGGGAGAATAATCGAATGAGGAGCCTCTCGCCTAAGGCGGGACCTCTCCACCTTAGGAGAGAGGGAGTGTCTCTTAATGACTAAAAACCACCCTTTTCCTACTCCTGCTTCGAGTCGAAACTCCAGTAACCCTGGTTCTCCGCGAAAGACATAGGGGCTGTCTGTCAGTCACACTTCTATCTTTACCTCAAAACTAGCTTCGCCCGGTTTCCCACGGAATAAAAAGTAGCCAAATTTTAATCTCGATCCCTTCAGCTGTTCAGACTTGAAAGAGTAACAAACACTTAACACACACACACACACACACACACTCAAATTTTCATATTTATAATATTAATAGTAGGAAGTAGGATTACTTATGACGTAATAACATGGATGCACGTGGCCTTCTAAGACCAGAAGAGTTTCAGATGCGTAGCTGGCCTTTTAAAATGGAGTACCCTAATATCTTAGGTTTGGAGGCATATCAGTTTCAAATTCTCGCAGAGGCGATTAATCATATACTTAATTATATTATAATCAGTAATGCAATATTATCAGGCTGACAGACTTCTACTTTTTTATTTAGATGGATTAAAAACGATAAACGATACGAAAGTAGTTTTATAAAAACGAAAGTTGCACTCAGTGTTATTTATACAGTTCAAATAAAAAAGGACCTAATTAAAAGTATAATAATGTTGATTTTCAATACCTACTTACTAGTTTTATATGTTTTAACCTAATTATTGCAATTCAATAATTAGGTACCTACTGTACCTCTATTATTATTAACCCGTTTGTTGATTTCGGTATTTACCTACCTACAGATCGATTTTAACAGGATCGATGACTTGTGCTTGCTTGAAGAAAAGTAAATGTACGCTGTATATAGTCATACGAAATAAATGACTGCCTCGTTGGCCGAGTGGTCAGTG